AAAGCCCAATGTTCATTTCTTTATATATCTTTGTTTTGTTTACATATTTTTTTGTGGTGCCGAGGATCGAACCCAGTGCCTCAAATGTGCAAGGCAAACACTCTCCCACTAAGCCACAACCTCAGCCTCTCAAAACTTTTTTAACATAAAAATTTAGTAGCTAAAAAGTCTTTTGAGGTTTAAACCACTTTTAGTAAAAATATTTACCGTGTGCAGTTTGTTAGCAAAGAAATTTTTTTTTTTATCCATTTCTACCAGTAACAATCATGAATTAGGAAAGAAACTGATAGGCTGGATGTATCTCTCAGCTTAATTCACAAGAAAATTGTGAGCAATCTTRTGAAACAGAATTGGAAGAAAAAATATTAAGAGATGCAGATGGCTGGGAGGAAAGGGTGAGGCTGTGTTGTTTCTGTTGGGTTTCTATTGGTTGCTGGGTTCACAGGGTCAGTGATCTCCCTGGTTAATGTGAAAAGGTCAAGACCACTTTTACTGGGGATTGAACTCAGGGGTACTTGCCCACTGAGCCACATCCCCAGCACTATTTTGTATTTTATTTAGAGACAGGGTCTCACTGAGTTGCTTTGCACCTTGCTTTGCTAAGGCTGGCTTTGAACTTGCCATCTTCCTGTCTATCAGCCTCCCCAGCCACTGGGATTACAGGTGTCCTCAAGGCCACTTGGAGGTGCTGAAACAGCTCTGCATAGCCTCCAGCATCCTGATCTTTGCCCTCTGAGAGCMCAGACAGCTTGTGCTTCTTTTGATTTGTATCTCTTGGAGGGAGGCTGATGGCCTCTTCCCCACTTCCTCTCTGGGACTCTGAGGTCCTGCCTGCCCTTTGCCAGATTCCTGGTAGTTTCCTTGTGTGGTAAGGGACTGGGCTTCACTTGTTCTGTCAYGGCCGCCCCCATCCCTGCATTTGTTGTTTGTCTTTTGACTTGGTAGTATGTTTGTTTTTCCCCCACAAAAATGTAAAATGTTGGCATTCCTATTAATCACTTTCAGTCTGATCTTTGTTTTCTACCTCTAACTAGTTTGTTTTGCTGTTGGTTGTTATTGTCATGCTTGGAAAGGCTCTACTCCAAGATGATTTTATAAGATACTCCCTGAGGTTTCTTCTGGTTTGGGTTTTTGTGTTGAAGTCTTGACTCCTCTGGGAAGTGTGGCACTGGAAGGGTGCAGCGGAAAGGGTGCAGATGTCACTCCAGACCAGCTCTTGGCAGCAGATTTGGAGAGTTGTAGRGCCACTCTGCAACAGAACTCCAGATGTGTGGAGGCCTGAGTCCCAGCAGACACCCCTGCCTGCTGAGGCCTGGATTTTCAGGAGGACCACCTTGTGGGACCCTGGGATGGGGGCTGGGCCAGTGCTCTGATAAGCTAAGTGGAGAGTCAGGGAAAGACCAGGGCAAAATGGGGGCCCATCCACAGGGCCAGCTCCCCTTCCCTACTCATAGCAGTGGTAAATCCTGCCATTACTTTAAAAAATGTGCTGTAAAGGGGTCTGGGGTTGTGGTTCAGARGTACAGCACTCGCCTAGCATGTGTTGAGGCACTGGGTTCAATCCTCAGCACCACATTAAAATAAAGATATTGTGTCCACCTATAACTAAAAACTAAATAGTTTTTAAAAAATCTGCTGTAAAGAGAAATCACTGTCTCATCTGTTAGGAACAGGGAGTCTGGGAGTCATTTTCCAGTAAGGGCAAAGGACGATACCGCTCACATCTTGTTACTTCCAGCCCCACACTGGGCTGCTGACTTCTCTTCTTTGAAGGTAATAACTTTTATGAATTTTTAAAAAAATTCATTATTTTGGTGCTGGGGTTGATCATAGGGCCTTGCACATGCTAAGCACACACTCTACCACTGAGGTACACCCCAGCCAATTTTGATATCACTTTATTAAAGTACTGGGGATTTAATTTGGAGAGTTCTACCACTCAGCTACATCCCCASCTTTTTCTTTTATTTTGAGACACTGYCTCTCTAAGTTGCTTTAGGTTCTCAACTTGCAGTCCTCCTGCCTCAGTCTCCCGAAACTGGGATTATAGGCATGCACTACCATGACCAACTTCATTYTGAAAGGGTAAAGTTTCTAAGCTGGAAAGCTTGAATGTAAAAGATTAGGTATTATTAAATTCCTGTTACACCCAGATTCCTGAGATAGTTAAAACAAAGCCCTACTGGCCATTTAGCCTAGGGTCCTGTGCAGTTCGTCACAGGGCCCAAACCAATCAGTTTGAATGTGTACCCTGCTTAGGAGTGACCAATCACCCCCGCCCAACCTGTTCCTGCCAATGAATGTGCCAATCACGTCTCAGAGTTGTGTTCAATTTCCCCACGCCTCATGATGATTTGTTCTGATGTATGCAAAGCCCACCACCCTCTCCAGAAAGTGTACTTAAGCTCTGCTTGACCTCAGCTCGGGGCTCCAGGCTGCTCTTCCTTCTTGAGTGAGCACGGGGCCCCAGCGCGCTGGAATGGATCCCCAATAAATCCCCTTTTGCCAATTGCAT